GATGGGCTGCTTCCTTCCAAGTTTTAGTCTAAGCACGAGGCTGCGTAACCTCGCCAGAAATGTCTCCACCAGCATCCAGGGCCTTTTGGAAGTTGTGTTTTGTATTTACTGTTTGGCTTAGGCATCTGGAAGCTTCTAGCTTGCAAACAGCAGTCACCCAACTTTCAACTGCTTTCCTCAAAGTTTTAAGTCAGGTGTGAGTGTCACAGAAGGTTTCTGAACACCTCCCTTCCTCGCAGGCTGGGGGCTGCGTGGCCCTCCACGACCCAGGGCTGCAGGCAGAGCAACACCTCGTGCAAAGACACTTGTCTTGCAGAGCTTGGTGCCGGCTGATCTTGTCCACAGCTTGGCTGCGAAGTGCAAAGCTCTGTGCTGAGCTGTTGTGCAGCCCTGTAAGGGGCAATGCTCTGATTTGGGGGGGGGAAGGGGTGGTGGTGTGGGGGTGTGAAGCTGTCTTCTGAACTGCCCAGAACTTGCAGCAAGCCCTTGGGGTGCAGGGCTGGGGTCCAAGCCTCATGGCTCTCCTTTTGCCTCCCTGGTTTGCTTGCTCCTGGCCGTGGGTCCAGATGGAGAAGGTGCCCTGGTGCCAGCCCAGGTCTGGTGGATGGGCTGCCCTGTTGGGATGCAGCTCTGATGGACTGGTGGAAGGCTGTCCCTTTCCATGTTGGTTAAGTGGAAGTGAGCTGTGTTCAGCCCTTGGGCATTTCCTTCTACTCGAGCTGTTGGAGTGCAAAAACACCCAGCCTCGGGCTCTCCTGGACTGTCAGTTCTCTGCAAACAGCCCTAGCCCAGCGCAAGGTGCTGAGTGTTGGCAAAAGAGAGGGGAGAGCATCAGCAGTGAAAGGTGAGGTTGTCCTCCCCCATCTGCTGGCTCATTCCCTTAGAAATCCTCTTGGCTGAGTGAGGAAGATGGGGTAGAGGAAGGAGACTGCTAGCCTGGAGCCTCTGCCTACACACGGGGACAGCAGCTCCTCTCTGTGCAAACTGCCCAGGGCAGGAGCTGCTCTAGAAAAGCAGCCATGGCTGCAGAGTGTGGCTGGGAAAAGCCACTACAGGGTTCTGGGGACAGGGCCGTGTATCTGTAGAAGCCTTGCAGGATGGATCTCTCCAGGCATTAGCTTTTCTGGCATAAAATAGGCTGAAACATGTCACCCAGAGGCAAGCACTCCCATCCTTCAGAAGGTAGCCTCTTAAGGCTATCTTCTTGGCTTCAAGTGGCTGTGGTTGGCCCATCTTTCTGTCCCCACACCCCTGATGGTTTTCTACCCAGCTCCTGAATCTGCCTCAAACCTCCTGTTTGATTGACTGCTTTTTAATCCAGCGTATCCTATTGGCAGTGCATCCCCACTCCCCATTGCACGCAGGCCCTTTGCCTTTCCCTCCTTGAGTTTCTCATGCCCTCTGTGTGCATTTTCAGGGAGAATCTGGACCACCTGGTGACCAAGGGCGGGAAGGACCTCTGGGACCACCTGGAGACCAGGTAAAGAGCTCGGGGCTACCTTATGGATCTTAGGTGGAAGTGTCTGGGGCAGTGGGGAGAGTGGGGTAGGGGGGGTTGATTGATGCCACAGTATCTTCTGGCAGGTTCTTAGCATGTTCCAGACCTGGAAGCAAAGCTGGTGAAGGAAGGTAAGGATTTCTTGGAGAACCCAGCATATAAACAGGGCTAAAATAATGGAGACTTGGCTGCTGTGCTGGGGACACAGCAACCTCTGCACCATTTCTCAATCCCATGGAAACAGATGTCAACATGTCTGACAGATTTGGAAATTGGCAAGTGCTTGCTGCAGCAACGCACAAAATATTCAGGCCTGGGGCCAGTCGCTGCTCACCTTGGTCAGGGGAGTCAATTGAGACATCTTGTGTCGGCGAGGACAGCCTGACAGGGTCCCAGCGGTGTCCCTGACTCCCTTGGCATCTGCAGAGAGCGTCTGTCCCAAAGCCAGCGTTCAAGGCTGCTCACTGCAAAGGTCTGACCCTCCTGCTCTGGGGTTGGTCTGTCCTCATGTGCCTGAACTAACAGTTCTCAGACCCCACGGGCTTTCTGGAGAGCAGACCTAATGACCTCCAGCCTGAGGAAGGCTTCTGTCCTTCGCACAATTAAAAACTTTCTTCCTAGACACTTACCCAGATCCCAGCTGATAGCTCTGGGACTCGATGTGCTGCTGGGTTAATGCCCTATTGCAATGGCCAAGGGGGTTGTGCTTTGACATCACCCTTGGATGGGGCTCTGGGGGACAACTTTCCTCTTACCCATACCATCAAAGTTTTGACAGAGCCCATGGTACTTCCCAAAGGAAGTATTGAATTCACTCATTTGTGGAGAAGGACTTCCACAAGGGGTGAAACATTGGGGACCAGTGTGAGGACAAAGATGAGACAACTTTTGAACTCCTTCATGGTTGACCACATGTTGAAAAGCCCTGAAGGAGTTCTGGAGTGCAGGACAGCCATGAAGGGGCTGTTGTTGTGTTCATGTTATCCCCCAGCATGGGTGACCCCCACAGCAGTCCTGCACCATGCCACAGCCTGGGGAGAGGACATGCTTGTGCCAGGATTGTGCTTGTGTGGGGATGGGCTTCCCTTCAGCCTGTCTCATCCTAGTGAAGAGCCCCAAATTCACACAGGGGGATTGTCCAGATCCTGCTATCTGTAGCTGAGCAGAGCTCCTGCCGCAATCAAAGAGTACCTGGCAGCATCCAGCTTGTTGGGCACTGCTGTGGTGAGAGGTGTAATTTTGGGAGGTGGTCCTGGTAGGAAGGCAGGTCTTTGAATAATGCAGGCAACAGACTGGTGCTGCAGGCGGACACTAGTGAAGGAGGAAGGACTGGAGCTGCTCTCCATGTGGTAAAGGCTCATTCTGGGTTCAAGGCAGGATAAGGACTGTGCAGAAGAGAGTTAAGGTAGAGATTTGATGCAAGCCTAGGAACTGCAAGCATGGTAGGGAGCCAGACTGAGGTAGATCCTGTCTCCAGCCAGCCTTCACTGGTGGGGAGGAGGAGAAAGGAGAAATAATGGTCTTCCTGCTGTCACTGAGCCTGTGAGACACTAGTTTTTCCTCCACAGCACTGAACTAGAGTCAGACCCCTGTCAGAGAAGGAAGCATTACAGAAGCAGCATTAATGCCTCCCCAGACCAGAGACTGCCTCAGTGCCTCCACTACTCCAGGGAGATTTCAAAAGCAGTTGCAAAGCAAGGAAGTTTTTTCCATAAGCTGAGGAAGAATGCTTTTGCTTGGCCAAATTAAAAATAAGTGCGTAATTGGGCTTGGACAAGAGTAGGACTTTGGCAAACACAAGTGTTTTTCAAGCCGTGTTATCTGCAAGCTCTGGCTCTTGGAGCATATTTCTCTTGGCAAGGGGAAAGGGATCCCGCTAACCTGTGACTCCCTTTCATCCTTTTTCTATCCAAGAGAGGCTAAAGGTCAGCACGCTCTTTCTCTCATCCTCATGGGCAGGTTTGGTGGTCTCTTTTCCTGGCCATGGTGTCCATCCCTCCTGCAGTTCCTGTCGCACCTAGAAATGTAGTGGATGGGAAGCCACTAAAGATTTCCTGACCAAAAATCTGGCATCTTCTAAACTCTTCCAGGGCTGTGAGGGAGTTGTGCTGTGTGCTGCAGTGAGGACATGTACAGCCAACGTGAGCCAAAGGTGCTGTGGATCCAGCTTTGGCTGATGTGAATGGTCATGAGTTCCTGGCCTTTCTTCCCAGCTTCTCTCTCTTCTGAGCTTTTGTGCAGAAATAAGGTCACATGCCTTTGAGCAGTTTGGTGCCCTGCTCTGTGTAATTTTAAGTCCTCTGCACCCACCTTTGCACCTTTCATTAGAAAGAAGGGTGTGTGTGGCATGCTTGGATGTTTGGCACCAACTTCTCCCAGCTGCTCTTGTGCAAAGAGGAGCAGAGACAACCACTGGAAGGTACTTCAGTGTCCTCAGCTTTCAGGTAGTGAGAGAGCAGCTGCAAAGCTGGGCTAGGGTGAGCCACCACACTGAAGCAGCTCTCAAAAAGCTCAGAGGTGGTGTTGATGCACTGGAAATACAGAGGAAGCTCTTAGGCATGTGCTGCTGTGATGCCAAAGCCCAGGTACCATTGAGCAAGTGCCAGGAAACTGCAGTCACATGGCTTGTTGCAGGAAGCATTTCAGAGGTCAGGAGTCTTGAACTGGTGTGACGGCTGCCTGTAGCCGCGATGCTGGAAGGGCTGGCTGCCAAGCCATCGCTCACTCCCACCATGGCTTGCTCTCTGCCTTCCCTCTGCCCTCTCCATCACCTGGGGACCAGCTGCACACCCAGATGCTGCCCTGCTCGAGCGTTTGGAGCTGTGAGCAAGAGCATTCTTACCCAATTGTTAACCCACCGTCATTACCAACCTCCTGGCAAGTAAACCTGGTGAAGGGCTGTTGGCACCAAGCAGAAGGTTCCCTTGGACATCTACTGGAGCTTTCAGAGCGGGGGAAAAAACCCCAACCCTCCTTCCACCTCCTCTCTTGTCCCTGTCTGTCTCTGGCCAGCCCTAAGGCTGATGGACCAAGCGGCCACTGCCCAGATGGGATGTGGCAGAGTGACAGCTCTGGTCTGTTCCAGCGCATGCTGCCAGGGCTCTGCAGCCTCCTGAGGACACAACGTCCCCGGAGCCACAGAAGGGCTTCTGCCAGCTCTGCTGCATCCCAGAAGTGTCTGAGCCCTGCAGTGTGGGGAGGCCCTCTGGGGAGGGAGGTCTGTGTCACCTTCAGGGTGATGTGCTCCACCAAGGACCCTGCTCTTGACCACGGGACACCTCTGTCCCAACCGATGAGATGCCACTGTGCAACCCAGCTGTGCTTTGCTGCTAGAAATCATCTATCCCTCTCTTCCTGGTTTTCTCCGCCAGTTCCTCTGTCACCGGACTGAGGTGTGGAGGAGATGGATGGCTTTTGGAGCCTTGGAAGCTCTGCTCGGAGGCTGCTCCTTCCCACAGCCTGACTGCCACTGAAAGCACATGGTATTTGTCCCATGCCTGCAGTGCACAGTCCTAAAAAGCTGCTGCTTTTGTCTCACACTTAGCAGGGATCTGTCAGGGCTGCCTCCGACAGGGTTTTGCAGTGAAAGCAGGATGTAAGGAAGCATGGGGAGCTGCAGTCTGTGCACAGGGGACATGGAGGGGGAGCCCGGCACAGCTCCCAAGGCATCCCCCATCAATAGGTCCTTTCTTGTGAGGCTGGCTGAGGCAGAAGTGACTCACTGATGGGTGGGAGGCACAAGGTGGGTGCCCCCACCCACATCATTAAATGAAGGGACCAGCCCTTTGGGGCAGAAGCAGCACCAAGAGGAAAAACCCTGTTGTGAGAGCTTCTTGTGTTTTCTTAGGGTGAAGCTGGACCTCCTGGACCCAAGGGCTACAGGGGAGATGATGGCCCCCGCGGCAATGAGGTCAGTGCTGCTTCATCACCGCATCTTCTGGGGAAATGGAATGAAGGGAAGACCAGGAGATGCTACCCAATAGGGCTGCCCCCAATCCCTCAGATCTTGGGAACCTGTTGTAGGTGCAGACACACCAGGGTGTTTTTATGGGTCCTTAAAGCCATGACTGCCTTTTCCCACCTCCCAGAGGCCGTTTCACAGAAACAGTATAGCCACCCAACAAGCCACATGACTTCCCATCACAGAAGCTGGGGAACTGCTCTCCAAGGGCAGCCACCTGAATCTGCCAGCCGATCGGATACCCAGGACAAGGGAGCAAGCTGAATCCTAAGCTTGGATGGGGACTTTGCATTGCTCCTGTATAAGCAAAATCCCTCCCCTGATGGTAGCTGGTTGCCTCAGAAGGCATCATCTTCCCAGCAAGAAGGACTGTGTGCAATGCTTGATCACTTCTTCTGCTACTTCCAGGGCCCAAAGGGATTGCCTGGAGCACCTGGTCTGCCCGGAGACCCTGGCCTGATGGGAGAAAGGGTGAGTGGTATTTGTCTGGGAGGATTGCATGCAATGTAGAAATGATATATAACAGGCTGGTTCCACACCGTATAATCCAGGACAGGGAGAAAAGAAATTGCACTCTCATATGGCTGAGAGATGCTGGGGAAAACTGTAAGCAGCCTGGTTTTGAATATACATCCTATCTGCAGGCTCAAAGGGATGCCTTGGGATGTACTTTCCAGCAGCAGAGACCTGATGTTTCTAGTGTGTTCCGAGCCTGTGGCTGTATCACTGATCTGAGAGGGACAGTGTTGCTCTCTTCTTGGGGCTGTGCAGGTCACGCACAAGCAAGATGTCCCTTTTATCTGCCTGCATCAGTGTCCAACCCACCAGCCACAACTTTTTGCGCAAACATCTTGCTGTGGAGATGAGCTGTCCAAGGAGGGCAGGTTGCTGCTGCTGCGCTATTGAAAGGGTCTGCTTTTCCTTATCTCACAAATTCCTCCCTTCCTTTGCAGGGGGAGGATGGCCCTCCTGGGAATGGCACGGTTGGATTCACCGGTGCCCCTGTAAGTTGGCTGCTTTTCTTTATGCTGCTTGAAATTGTAAGACAGGTGTTTCTGCTCATATGACCTAACATGCTTCCTTTCCTTCATCCCCAGGGGCCACAAGGAGACAGAGGTGACCCTGGCATTAACGTAAGTGTGCTGCTTCCTTGTACATCCAGCAGAAAGTGCCCTGGCCAGTGACTTGGCTCTTGGAGCCTCTCCCTCAGCTACATGGGGAAATAGGCTCCCTGAAGCAGCCTGCTTTTCCAAAGCCCTCTTTTCTTCCCACCCACCTCTCCCTGGAAGTGTCCTGCCTTGGTGCGCTGGTAGTAACACCCAAGATGCCAGCCTGGGCAGAGTCCTCTTTGTTGCAGCCCTGGAGCCAGACTTTGGGGCTGGGAATGCCACCCAGGGATAGCTATATGGTGCTATAATAGTGAAGGCCACTTGAGAAGCTCTCTCCCTCAGTAGCACTGCAGTTTGGTGCTAAGGAGCCTATACACTGCTCTTAGCTCCTCATCCCAAGCCAGCTCTCACAGGGTCACTGCATGCCAGCACCAACTTCACCACACAAACAACAGCTGTCCATGCAGGAGTCTCCTCTATACTATTTTTCAGGGAACAAAAGGCTATGTCGGTCCTAAAGGTGATGAAGGAGAAGCTGGAGACCCTGGCAATGATGTGAGTAATCTGTATAAAGCTGAAACATGCCTGTGGGTTAGAGCCCATCAGACCTGGTAAGTCTGCAAGTGCCCTTTGCCACTGAGCACTGTCTGATGGCAAGAGGAGCTCTCTCCAGATGTTCATGTTGTGTCAGATTATGGCTGGCAAATTTCCAGATCTGTTATGTTGTGGTGAATGCTACACCTCTACAAAGCTTTGTGTGCTTCCAGTAACACCAAAGTTTGCACCTGTGCTTCACCATTGTCCTGTGGAGGGAGATATTCCCAGTGTCCATCCTGACCCTCCCAAGCCCTAACTCGTTTGGTTGGGTACAGGAATCTCCCATAACATTTTTGTGGTTAAGCAGGGCCCAGCAGACATCTGGAGGGGATGGCACTGCACTCTGACACACAGAGATTTGTGTATTTTGTTTGTTTTCATTCCAGAATGTAACCCCTGGCCCCAGGGGCATCAAAGGAGCAAAGGGCCACAGGGGACCTGAAGGCCGCCCGGTAAGGACTGACCCTGGCATGGTTTGCGCTGATGCGTGCGGTGTGCCAGGCTGATGGAGCTCCCAGCAGGAGCAAGGCAGTTTGAAAACCCACCGCTGCAGCCTGGCACGTGGGTCTCTGGAATCGCGTTCATCCCAAGACAAGGCAGAAAATACAGGCACTTGTGCTTTTTCGTGAGCCGAAGCATTCTTGGATGATTGGGTTCAGTAGGGGTGAGCAGCCTTTCAGAGTGGCCACCCCGAGCCTGAAGGCGTTTCAGTTCATGTTGAGCCTTGCTTGCATTGCCTCACGTTGGCCTAGGGGCTACAGGTGAGGCATCTCTGAGCAAATGCCATCCGTCCATTTCCTGGATGCCGTGGAGGCAATTCCAAGCCACGTCACACATGGTGTGCGTACTTGCTGCCCACACCAAAAGCTTACCTTCCCGTCTCAGTGGGCACAGCACATGTGGGAGGGGGTCTCTCTCCCTCTGTGCCTGTGCAGCCTCAGGGCATCATGCAGGCAAGAAGACGTACCAGCAACTGGGAAACAAAAAGACTTTTCTAGTATGGTACGGGCAGGGTACACCACGGATAGGACCAGCTGCTCTTGTAACTGCTCTCTCCATGCCTCTGTTTGACAGGGACCACCAGGACCTGTGGGGCCTCCAGGACCAGATGTGAGTGGGACAGGATCCGGGCGCTGCTTGCTTGCCCTGTGCTTCCCTTGGGATAGCTACATAGCTCCTCTTCATGCTTCCATCAGCATGATGGCTCCCGGGAGGGGGGAGGGTTGCTGCTGGGGGACCCTTGTGCTCCCAGGCTGAGTCAAGTCTGCCCCCCAGTACTGTCCCAGTGAGTGTCACTGGCCAGATTTCCTTCGTGTCCCCCACTTGCACATCACTCCTTTGCAGATCAGGATCTGCTTCAAGGGCACAAAGCAGCATTGCGGGGGGGTTGGAGTGGAGGGATGTAGGGGGACTGGGAGCCAGGCAGCTGCTTTTACTGTTACTCAAATGTTTCTTTACCTCTGTTTTCAGGAATGTGAAATCTTGGATATCATCATGAAGATGTGCTGTGAGTATCCCTGTACCTCTGCTCTCACCCACCTCTGATCCCTGAGGGAAGTGGCTGCTTTTTTCCTGACCTACAGGGCTGTCCCGAGGTAGCATGCTGAGGGATGCCATGGGCATCACTCCCAGGAGTCATAATTAAGTCAATGAGCTGGAGGAGGAATGGAGGGTCCTCCCTGCGGCGGGGACAGCAACCAAAATGAGGCAAATGTTTGGTGTTTTGGTGTCCCTTCTCTTGACACAGGGACTTCCAGATCGATCTCCAGTGTGTGTAGGTCGTGCAACCATGTTTCACATGTGTGGAACCAGACTGGTTTGCTGTCTGGCTCTGGGCACATGCAGTTACCCTTTGGGGAAATTACGAGCAAAACTGTGTAAAATCTGTGTGGAGTGTTTTTACAGGGTTTCTTTTCTTAAATAGCAGGGCCTGGCTAGGAAAGGGAGGTTTGTTCTGGGGTGTCCTGCCATGGGGAGCAGCAGTATGCATGTGCTGAAAAGGGTTTCTGGCCCATGGCCAGTTAATGAAATGCTGGAAGGACACAGGGTACTTAAGGAACTGAGTTTGAGCTCCACATTCTGGCAATTGACTTAATCCCTCCAGGATTAGGTTTTGTTTGTATTCTTATTTAAATAAGAACGCACCAGCGTGTGTGGAGACAGAGCTCTGCTGCATGCAGTGTTCCAAGTCAGGGCATCATAGTCTAAAACGAGAGGTCTGGATATTCCAAACAGGAGAGAAACCTCCATCAGCTTGAATTGTCCAGACCAGGTGTCTTTGGGTTTGCAGAAACAGAAACCTACAGTCTGCACTTGTGGGTGAAAAACCCTTTTGTCAAGCCTTTTAACATTCTCTCTCCCTTCTCTTGTAGCTTGCTGCGGTGAGTGTTACTTGGCAAAGCTGCTCTGCAAACATTTGCTAGCGCTTCTCCTTGCTTGTGCCGCTCCCTTTCCCTGCTCCTTGCCCTCCGCTGTGGAGATGCGGTGGGAGCCCGGGAGGACTAAGCATGAGCAAGGCAGGGAAGGGCAATAAACTCTCCCCGAGGGTGGATCCAGAGACTGCTGTGGCTGGGTCCCACAACTGGCAAAGTGCTGCCCAGGTGCCCTGTGCCAGCAAACTGCAGGCGGATTTTCTCCACCCTTTTTGTCGTTGAGACGGGATGTCAGTTCAGGGCACGCTGTGGGTCCACCTCTGTCCTCCTCCTCCTCCCAAGTCCTGTGCTGGTCTGCAGAGAAATGTGCTGGGTTTTTTCCCCTCTGCTGCTGTCCTGATGGGTTGGGTTTGCAGTCCAAAAGCTTGAAGGAAGAGCCAAGGGCACATTATGTCCTTCAGCCATGGGAAAGGGGGGAGCAAGCTGAGTCAGCCCCCTCCAGCCCACCAGTGTCACCTCTGTCCTCCTGGGCTGGGTGAATAGAAGAAGCGAGAAGGGCTGTGAGGAAACAGGCTTTGGAATAATTACTGGTTGTTTCAGGGGTGCTCACAGCTTGGAAATACTGCATGTCCCATAAGGAGTGCTGAGTGAAGTGTGAGTGGAAAATTAGTAAGCTGACTCTGAAGTCTCCCATGCAGCTGTCTTGCTGCTTTATCTGGCACCGTGCTTTGTGGGTGGATAGGGGACAGGCACCCACCTGGTCAGGACCAGCAGCAGACATCAGCTGCTTGCTTTGCTATGCCTCCCTGCAAAACCTGCTGCTCAGGTAGAAAACACAAGCCCCTCCGCTCCTGTGTCTCGCCGCAGAGTGCACCTGCGGTCCCGTCGACCTCCTCTTCGTGTTGGACAGCTCGGAGAGCATCGGCCTGCAGAACTTCCAGATAGCCAAGGACTTCATCATCAAAGTCATTGACCGCCTGAGCAAGGATGAGCGTGTCAAGGTGAGATTTCCACTGAGTGTCCAGATGCACTTGTGTGCACTCATGTTTTTACTGCAAGCAGAAAAACAGGGAGATGCCTCCACTCCAAAGAGCCTCTGCAATGCTTAATTTCAAGTGTCTAACTGGGGTGGATCTTGATTCCTCCCGTATTCATAAGGGGATGGAGGCTACAGGTTCTTTGTCCCAAAATCTAGACATTTCACTCTTTGTGGGCAAAGGTATTCTGTCTGCTGTGGCTGAGAACTCTTCCTCCATGTCCCAGAGCAGATGGGTCATAAAGCATTCCCCTGATCAATTAGTGTCATCTTGTCCTGATGATCATTTCAGGTGGCTGGAGGAGGTAACACGAGAGAGAGAGTGCAAATTCCCATAGCTTCCTGATGGCCGGCCCCCTAGGCACCCTTATTTGTACTGAAGCTTGGGTTTTGGTTACCAGTTAAGCACACTGCTAAAAAGAATCTTTGCTGCCCAAAACAGCAATATTGTCTTGGTAGTGAGTCTTTCAGTCTGAAGAGGGACACGAATTCTTGCTCTCCTAACTCTTGCCTGGTAACCTGCTGTGTGTGGGAAATTTCATTTACCCTTGCTGGAAGGGTTGTTTGGGATCCAGCCTTTCCTTAAGGTATAATCGGACACATCCATAGCACATAGGCTGTAAAGCCATGATATATTACCTTTGGATACTTCTGTAGGCATGAATATGTCTCCATCACTGGCAAAGAGAGAGTGAAAAGCCTGAAAGGCTAGAACTGGGCAGTAAAACCATTGTGTTGGAAGAAAAACAGAAGCTTTGAAAAAAGGCTTACTCCTAGCCACCCAACACTGCCTGTGTTGAGACCCTGAGCCAGGAAACCTGAGTTTTGCATCTTGTTTCACTGCCTCACCCAATTGGTCCCTATGCGCATCCACTCCTACTGGGGCTCCTTCTGCCTGGAATAAGGCAGGGGAGAGGCAGCAGAGCCTGTCATGAAAGCGTTCAGGTATCCAGGGTCCCCTGAGATCTCTGACCCTAACTGGCTTCTACTTTTTCCAACAGTTTGAACCTGGGGAGTCCCACGTGGGTGTTGTGCAGTACAGCCATGACAAAACGCAGGAGCTGGTGGCCATGGGGGATGCCAACATAGACAACATTGGGGCGCTCAAACAGTGAGTCTGCAGTGTCTCAGCACATCGTGTCCCTGACCTAGGGACACCTACTCACCTCCCATCTTCCATCTCCAGGGCAGCAGCTCCTGCAGCTGCAGGGATGCTCAATGTTCTGGAGCAGAAAGTAGCAGTTGGTGGCATTGTAGGTAGTGCTGAGGCCAAGGACTCTGCTGCTGTTTCACCCAAAGCCCCGAGCAGGGATGTTGCTGTGCAAACATGTCAGACCTATGTGTTCCATTGGGGGGCTCCTTCAGTATCCGTGGGACAGGGCTTGCAGGCTTACTGGTGTCTCTGCTTATAGGGCAGTCAAGAACTTGAAATGGATAGCTGGGGGGACCTTCACTGGAGAAGCTCTGCAGTTCACCAAGGACAACCTGCTGCGGAGATTCACGTCTGACAAGCGCGTTGCCATTGTCATCACGGACGGACGTTCTGACACGCTGCGGGACCCTACCCCACTTAACTCGCTGTGCGATGTCACCCCGGTAAGGGCACACTAGGGCAGGGGTGACACGTGTCACTAGAAGCACCCTCATGGAGTGACAGGCGTTCAAGTTTATGAATGCTTTTGGTGACGGAGTCTAACTTCCCTGCAGGTGGTTTCTCTTGGGATAGGTGACATTTTCCGCAACCCTCCGAATCCAGATCACCTGAATGATATCGCTTGTTTAAGCAGACCGACCAGGCCAGGACTGTCTATTCAAAGGGACAACTATGCTGAGCTCCTGGATGACACCTTCTTGCAGAACATCACCTCGTACGTCTGCCAAGGTGAGCGAGAGGTGGTGCCTGGAGGCAATAGGGAAGGTGGTGAGGGTTGCCTCAGCAAAAGGGTGAGGGATGCAGACTGCCCTCCCTTCCCTTCCCCCTGTCATGCAGGTACTTAGGGAAGAGAACAGCATTCAAGGTTTAGTTAAACAAGGGACAAGGATGTCTTGTGTCTCAGAATAATTTGCAGCCAGGTCCAGGTCCTGTCCTGCTGCAGGACATCTCTGTCCACAGTATTTTTTCAAGCATGCACTTTGGTGCTTTCTGAACACATAGAGCCATTGCACAGTGTGGCTGTGACCGAGGGGAGTGTTTGTCCCTGCTGTGACTCCGTGGAAAGCTGTGCTATAGGAAAAGTGATCTTTTTTCTTTTTTTTTTCCCCTGGGTGAGTCAGTGACATTACTCTTTCTAATTTTCTTAACAGAGAAGAAATGTCCAGACTACACCTGCCCAAGTGAGTATTGAACCCTCATGTCATGTGAAGGGGGTTGTGGGTGCGGGAAGTGGGAGTTCGTGGGAACACAGAGCTCAGAGACCACTCGCACCAGGGAGGGTCCCAGTCTGGAGAAGTGAGCAAGCCTTGTCGGACACTCACAGGGTCTCTCACATACATGCCAGCCCAAAGCACCTGAGGAAAAAGCCTAGACAGTTGCTTTTCTGGCACTAGAAAGGATGCTGTGCCAGATTTAGCCCTCACAGGCTTTAGCTGAGGCAGGTAATGAGGTCAGTGGTTATGTGGTGGTAGGAGCATGAGCAAAAGTCAGCACTGTGGCAGGGATATTTAAGAAATGTGCTCGAAAATTGAGTGCAGGGAGGAATTTAGTGGGGTACACCTCCAAGTCAGAAATGTATACAATCCTCAGACATCACGGAAAGAATCCAGCCTCGGGAGATGAAGTGCTCCCCCAGACACGCAAGGACAGCCTAAGACAAGGAAAACACGCACCATATTTAAGCAAAAAGAGTGACTAGATTATCTGAGCCAGATAAGTACCTGGGAATGCAGTTTCTCATAAACCAAATAAAAGGAGGAATGAAAGGGTAAAAGGACAAGTGTGGGACAGCACTAGGATAGGGGAAACCAAACTAGCAAATACCCAGAAAGCAAGGATTTCCCAAGTCTGACAAGGCAGGAAACCTGCAAGACAGTGACTTCACCGGCCTCCCGTGGAAAGGGGCAGGAGGAGGAGGGAAGCAGTGTAATGAGCCCTGGGCCTTTCCCCTTACAGTCACCTTCACCGGGCTGGCAGACATCACACTGCTGGTGGACAGCTCCACCAGCGTGGGGAGCAAGAACTTCGAGACCACCAAGAAGTTCGTGAAGCGGCTGGCGGAGCGGTTCCTGGAGGCTGGCAAGCCTGCTGACGACTCTGTTCGCGTCTCGGTGGTCCAATACAGCGGCAGGAACCAGCAGAAAGTGGAAACTCAATTCCAGTACAATTACACGATCGTTGCCAAAGCCATTGACAACATGGAGTTCATTAACGACGCCACGGACATCAACGCCGCTCTGCGGTACGTCACGGCACTGTACCAACGGTCCTCCCATGCTGGGGCAAAGAAGAGGGTGCTGGTGTTCTCTGACGGCAACTCTCAAGGGATCACCGCGAGGGCCATCGAGAGGGCTGTGCAGGAAGCCCAGCAGGCCGGCATAGAGATCTACGTGCTGGCGGTGGGCAGCCAAGCCAATGAGCCCAACATCCGTGTTCTGGTCACAGGGAAGAGTGCAGACTATGATGTGGTCTATGGGGAGCGCCACCTCTTCCGTGTGCCCGACTATACCTCGCTGCTGCGTGGCGTCTTCTACCAAACTGTGTCCAGGAAGATCGCTGTTGACTGAGCATCTGGATGGGTTGCTGCCAAAGCCATGCCTGCTTCTGTCTTGCCTAAAAATGAAAACCATCAAAAGAAAAAATTAACAGTATTCTTGACCATCCTGAGAAATTTGCACCTATGCAGATAGCCATAGTGCCACAGCCAGGCTGTGCATAGTCCTCTTCCTTCTCCCCTGGCTTCTTCACCTGTATCTCTACCCTCTTAGCCTCAAACCTCCCTCCCTGCCCATGACTGCCTCTCTCTCCCCGCAGCAGGCAAACACAAGCGCACCTAGCAATAAGCCTCCAGAACAACAAAAGCAACCTCATCCCACTGGGGTTTTTTTGCTAGGAAAGAATCAGGATGAGGAATTTTGTACCACTAAGGACTAACTTAGTCTCATAAGGCTGATTATGGTCTCTTCAGATACATATTTTTTGTTGTTCACTTGCTTCTTTCCTTCATACATCAGCTGGGCGCTTGCCCGGCTCGCAATGGTCCCTAACCCCATGCTGTGCTTCAAACAAAACACTTCAGCAAGCTTTGCGAGGGGATTGTTGTCAAGGCTGGCAAGTTTGCTTCACATCTCCTATGCCTGGGGGAGGGAGGGCTGGACTTCCAAACCACCTATGTACTAGGCATGGGTGGAAGAATCTTTGGTATCCGGTGCTGTGGGGTGGGGCACTTGACTTCCCAGGACTGGGGTGGAGGTGGGTGGTGGAGCATCCCTTAACTCTGCCACTTCCACTGCGGGCAGGGAGGCTAGGCACCAACCAAATGAAAGTTGGACACCAGCTACTGGGGAAGGGGGAAATCCTAGAAGAAACTACATAACTACACTCCTTTGCTAACTATCTCATGGTCCTACAGTATAACCAGGAACCTCGTGAATAACCTGATGACTTGTGTTACAGTCCAAGTTCCATTCTGGAAAAATCTCTCTGAGCCCAGTTAGTGGGATTTCTTTTTAATTTTTTATTTTTCTCAAAAGACCCAGGCTGTCTAATTCCCAGTGAGCTCTGGGAGTACCGTTTCTACAGGATCATCTAGGAGTTAGGAACCTGGGCCCTAGGGAAACCCACTAACTGTACTATATATTGAATTAGGGCCTCATCCACAGCCCAGCAAAGTCAAGGGAAAGGCTGTGGGCTTTCCCCACAATTATCTGCCAGGGGCTTTGACTCATGCAGAAATACTGACAAAGGTGCTATCACTATGTGGGTGATGCAGGCCCTTGGTGTTTACAAGGTTGTTTCCAGGACCACGCTGCAGATGTGGTTTGGCTGGGTGAGATTTTGTTTCAGTGCTTCCATTGGTGCTCTTGCTATAAATTCATGCGCTTTTGAGAAAGCAAAAGTGATTGCCAGGTATCAGCATCCCACATCTCTTTACTTTGTATCCAAAAATCCATTGTACGAGTTAGTTTTATTTTATGCCTGTGTTTTACTAAAATTGTCCACTTTGGAAATTTGTCAAATAAATTGTTTTCCACAATCTCGTTGGAAGTTCCTCTGACCTGAATTTTAAGAGCTCTGAACATTCAGAAACCCACACAGTAAAACAG